GTATATGATAGTTTCCACTAATACAAATTGAGTGATGATTGAACCAGTCACTGATTGTTTATTGGCAGGACTTTTTATGTCCCTAGTGATTCTTTTTCGCCCAATTCTCATATTTCCTAAACTCCAAACAACACAAAATAGAAATTTGCCCATCGTCTAACAATAGAGCTGTCTTTTAGAGGTCATTTTCAGAATTCCCGACATGATCCTCCACCTCCTTTTATAAGGGGAGTCTCTTCCCCCTCCCCCTCCCCCTCCCCGTCCTCTTCCCCCTCCCCCTCCTCCTGCCTTCTTCTCTTTTTTTTCCTTATCATAAGTAATGTGAGAGCTAGGCACAGCTAGAAAGCACAATGAGAAAGCACAACTAGAAAGCACAGAAAATGCATTTTTTCCAAATTGAGAAGCCTGTTTCCTTTTTTTCATTTGTTTTTGGTAAGGCCTTTGCATAAGAGAATGTGTTAAGTGAGAATGTGTTCCACAAAACAGATTCTCTTTTCCCCTATTTTCAAATTCAAAACAAATAACAGCTGTTTTGGAGTAGTTTTSCCTTTTAATGTGGTCTTTTCATTTAATGCAAAGTTATGTCACACCTGCTAGACAGCTTTGAACTATAGTTATTCATTTTTTTTAGTTATTCATAAAAGACATCTCTTTTTTGTAATCAACAGATTGCATTAAATTGCAGCAAAATTTCTGTCAATTAATTGTATATCATTATGACTTCCCCTGCAATTAAGAGGAAAGCCAACAGACTTCAGCTGGCTGCCAAGATCAATGGAACTGTAACTCCACTGGGAATTTCAACAGGAAATATGAAGAGAAGTGGTTCTGTTACCTCTTTAACAGGATCCTTAGCAGGCTATGAGATGTTACATGTAAGCTATTTTGTTGTCTATAATACATTATCATCATGCAATACTACACGATATTAGAGTCAATTTCRTATGAGATRGGAAACGGACGGTACTGTACTGTGACCGTAATCGTACACTKTAACCAAATTCTTAGTGTTTCACTGGTTCACAAAATTGTGGAGGCCAGGTAAGGTAACTGTGCAGTAACCATGCTGTAATTTATACCGTATGTGTCCCACTCATACGAAATTGACTCTATTGTCATTTATTAAAGGTTACACTTRCAAAAGCAGCATCATGAATATAGAGAAAACTAGTTAAATGTTTTTCAACTGTGATGGTACCCGTGTATATAAATCTTCATCAGGATCATCTACATCATCTTAAATATTTCACATCATTGAGGGGATAGGGTCAGGTGTTGGTGGAAATGCTTGCAGAAAAAATGTTCAAAGATATCACTAAAAGGCACCTTATTCCTGTTTTGATGGGTTTTGATAGCAGAAATGAAATCTAAAAATCCATAYAAAAAGGGTTATTCTGGAATCCGAAATCTATAACCGAGAAAAATCGTTCAAATCAGCAAGGAAAATTGCCTAACTCCCGCRACTATATAATTTYATAAGTGAGCGACAAYCATCCACAGGAACGATAGTTTTCTATTTGGCAGTCGTAATTGTCAAATTAGGGAATTGAGGAATTAAAAAAGGGGGGAGAATGAGAAACGAGAAAAAGGAACTAAAGAAGAGAACAAGCCAATCAATCATGCAAATATCAACAAATTTGTAGTTTTTATTTGTACTGAGTTCAATAATAGATATAATTGAGGAGTAAATTCATAAAGTAAGAAAGCATATATATTACCAAAAAAGATTATGGTATGGCGAGAAAACGATTCAAAACGTGACGCTTAATTGCTGCGAGTTCGAGAAAATCCTCTTGGAGTTGATGGAAACGTCTCATAATTTGTACTGCATTCGAGTAAACACAGTGAAACCGTGAAAAAAAATCCAGATTAGTCCAAAAATCCAATTTAGGAACTAAAGTCTCTTCTCAGTAACATGTAAAGCTATATAGTTAACTATTTGTGTCCAGCAAMCTGTTTAGACTTTATTGCTAAGATTAGCATTCGGATTGGCTAGTTGTTGAACGTATTTAATGGTAGCAGACTAGAGACGGGAAATTCTAGCAATTTTTTTTTTCTTTTTTTCGTTTGTTTTTTGTTTTTCCATTACTAGAACTAATTTATCCTGTATTTTATGGGTACTATTTATGATACATATCATACTCGTAATGTCGCAAACAAAGGCTTGGCTTGCAAGTATATATACTGTCGTACTTTGAAATAGCTGCGGCACGTGAGACTGATCTCGTGTAGTGTGACTAAACAATTTCATATACTAAATGTCAATCAAGAACGACTTCATTAAAAAGCGCAACTTATTATAAAGCTCACCGCATACGGAGTTTAAATAATACGAAGTTTGACAAGCTTGCTGAATTTAATTATGTGACTCGATTATTAAAATGCGACTGCACAATTTGGTGCGGGTCATAGTACGGCTACTCTTGGATTGACAAAAAATGAGGTCATCCTCGGGCTCCCAGTGAGGGAGAGATTGGCCCAGGGTTGTTAAAATTAGGTGTATAATTAGGAGGTTTCATCTCAGACCTTTCTCAGACTTTCAAACATACCGACTTATAAGTGCAGGGCAAAGACTAAACCAATATTTAATACTGGTACCTGCTGACAAGGACAGATGGAGACAATTTGCAACCTGACGTTTCGACATCCTGCGTGGAAGTCGAAACGTCAGGTAACTAGTCTATATACAACAGTCTTCCTCAAGACTTCACGCATCTGGGCCCGGACGATCATATCACGTGACATACATCGCTTAGTCCTTATACCTGGTTCAGACCATTCACTCTCATGCGTTCACTAGGACGACAGAGCGAACGACAGTGTATTATTTATGATTTAGCTATGGAAAGGAAGGGAAAGATTTAAGAATTTATGAATTAGTTTGTCTTCCTGTGCTCTTCCAGTCTTGGCCACGAAACGACATCAGTTCACTGCCGTCAAAGGTCAAAATCGTTTTTGTCCCGAAAACAACCACTTCCTTTTTCTCGATAAGTTGTCATAGTGCATTTCAAACAATTTCGAGTAAGAGAGTTTTTAAATATGTCACAAGCTAATCATATCAAAGCTTTGAATGGGAAAGAATACGATACTTTTACAGTAATGGACCTTATGATGAGCTCTGTAGACAATCGTGATCCACACAAACCAGAAACTCGTAGTAATGTCAGTAATGGCAATGGCTACTCACCAGTGAAAGAACCGCTTTTAGAGGGACTGCCTAAGGTGAGCACCAAAACTGTACGTATGTACGCAACCCGCAGTCTTTAGGTAAATCTAGATGTACATTGCTGACCTGAAGGGTTTTCTTCATAATTTTATTCTTGATTATCCTGGGGAGGGGGGCACTCCATCGTACTTAGGACGGAGAGGATTGTCGGACGTTTGAAAAAAATAATCAACACAAAAAGATACCGAACGCTTACATTTTAATCCCGATCAGATGCCAGGTAGAAAAAAAAACACTATTAAACACCTTCTGCTTGAAAGGTTCATCAAAAATATTTCATGTCTCTCTAAACACAAAACCGACATTTTCAATTTAATTATTGAATATTTTTAAAGCAGCCCTATCACCGCAAAGTTCCTAAAGAAATAAAGAAACAAAAAAAGGGAATTAAAAACATTTTTTTGGTGAAATTCTAACAAAGTAATTAAAGCTATTGTCCTTTTATCAATGCTCTTGTTATTTAGAGCCTCCCGTGTATTGTTATTATGATTACTATGGAAAGGAGACCAGAGGAACGATTTGAGCATTTATGAATTATTACTAGTTTGTCTTCCTGTTGTCTTGCAGTCTTGGCTACAAAACGACGTACATGCCAATATCAGCTCAATTCCGTCAAAGGTCAAAATCGTTTTTGTCTTGCTACGCGTACTTCCTAGAATTACCACATGCTTTTTCTCGATTTGTTGTTATAGTGTATTTCAAACAATTTCGAGTAAGAGAGTTCTTAATAAGTCACAAGCTAATCTTATCAAAGCTTTGAATGGAAAAGAATACGATACTTTCACAGTAGTGGCAATGATGAGCTCAACTCGTGTAGACAATCGTCAAGATACACCAGAAACTCGTAGTAATGTCAGTAATGGCAATGGCTACTCAATGAAGGACAAGGCACCGCTTTTAGCGAAACTACCTCGTGTGAGCAGCAAAACTGTATGTATACAACCACAGTCTTCTCCTAGATGTTTTAAAACTGGTAAATCTAGATGAAAATTGCCGTTTTGAAGGTTTTTTTTTGTTAATTGTATCCGGGGGGAGGGGGGCACTCCATCGTACTTAGGACGGGAAAGAATAACCCAAAAAGATATCGAACGCTTGAAAGGATCATCAAAGCCGTTGTCATTCTCATATCAGAAGATACAGCTTAGATTTGTTATCCTAAAAGTTTAAGAAACTCCTAAAGATACGATGATTGTCTCTGCCCAACCGGAAGAGGGGGGGGGCAGTAATGATGATCTTTATGATTACTGCGTCGCTAATCGAGCTTATTTAGGGATTCATAAACTGTAAAATAAATAAAGCTGAGGTTGAGTTAATAATAGGTACACACATGGATCTTTGTTTGGACTTTGTAGGGGGTCCGCCATATTCGAATAGTCAACTTTAGATATTTTGGTGCAATCCCCGGAGCCTCGTTGCAATTCTTTTTGCGCATGGTCACTGAACCAAAATATCTTAAGTCGGCTATTATCTTGGTGTGTATTAGTTATCATCGACTTCTTAGTTGAAAGTCACAATTTGAACAAAAACGGATGAATTTTGCGCTGCTGATTGTGTCATTTTGGCCGTGTTCAGAAATTTTTAAAAAATCAAGCAATGCTCGGTGCGCCATTTTGTGACATTATTGTGTGTCTTACGTCTAGCACTAAATAAATGTTTTGAAAACTACTGTTTATTGTTAAAGACAACAACCTTATTCATCAAGAAAGGTCAGATTTCGACCACCAATTACTAGAATATCTGAAAATCCCCCGGGGGAGGGGGGGGGGTACTCCCATACATCGTCACTAATCACAGTGATCTAAAGAAAGATAAAGAAATGTCATTATAGTATGTGCAGCACTTTTGTGGTCATAAATTATGAGATCTACCTGGGCTGAACTCGCATTTACTAACCTCGGGTCAAAAAAAGATGGCGTTGAGTTTTGATTTGAGATTTTTTTTAATCTTACGAATTATACGTAATTGACAGCGAGGCCATTGTGTAAACCAAAACCAAAACATGGTGGAGCGATCATCCCCGCCCTAAATATGAGGGGGTCCTCCCCCGGGAATGAAACGTCAGTGTAGTATTCGTACTCATAATATCTGCTTAAATAATCTCTAAAGTTTTCTTAGAAGAAAAAGCACACAAGGATAAATTTCTAAAACATAATACTGTGATTAAGGGCATTATTTTTCGCAGGCATAATAAAATTCAAGGACTGTATTTCTCACCATGATGAGCAAAATGGTATCGGTTCATATTGAGTATTAGGTTTAAGGGTTCGACGTATAAATCGAAAGTCGAATCATATGAATCGGACATTGACTATTATTAGTGTTCCGYACGAAGGTAGTACTGTGAATCGGCCCTCGTCCCTCTGTCTGTCTGTCCGTCGATCCATTCAATCATTCATTTGCTGTTTATTCATTCGTTAGTTCGTGTGTTCATAACTTTGTTTAACTTTTTGTGTTGCGATATCTTTTTTCTGTCTTCTCTCAATAATTAATTAGTAACACTTATGATAACTAAGATGCTTTATTTTATGTACTTGTTACCAGGCCATACATCAAATTAATTGATTTATATATATATGTGCGTGGAAAACTGCTTTATGCAGGGTGCTGCACCATTGCCCATGTTGTAAAGGTTTTCAGAGCGCGTTCATGCATTAACAATTTATACTGAATTTATATTGCACGTCGTTGAACATAGCGACCATTTTCTCTTTATAAGAGAGAACAAATCGAGGTTACATTCAAACTGGCGGCGAACAAGAGAAGCCACAGTTTTACCCCATCGCTTTATGATGGGGAAGGTCAAAGTAGAGTTGATCTTCATAGGTTTGCGAGAGGGGTAAGTTCAACTGTCAGATTTAATGTATGTACTACTTAGCTTTTCGTGACTTAAAAATTTATAAATTGAATTAGATAATTCTTTACTAAACTGTGAAGTCGGAAGAAGCGTTAGCTACGTGAATTCGAGGTTTTTCTTGTGGAAAGCTGTAATTCAGTTATTGACTTGTGCCTCGCATAGTTGCCTACTCCTTGAAAAATCTACCAAGAAAGAAAACTCGTTTGGACTCGTACGAACTTGAAAAAAGGGAATAAAAAGCTAGCTTTTTTATAATAAGAATTTTAAACGAACTGCTGAATAGATAAAAATAAAATGCAAATTCTTGATATCACATGCTGATAATTATCGTCACTACATCTTGACACAAATTGAAAATAGCCAAAAATAATTAAAAACTAGTAGCACTTCACACTTTTATTAAGGTAATTGATTGAAATTTATATTTTTTTAATCATACTTATTTTCATTCGATATAAAACTATTATCACTTACTAGTATCCGTTGTGAATATTTTCTTTGATGTCAGATACATGCATCATTAATTTGTTTGCATCGAAACATCGTTTTTTTCTGGAAAAATTCTTTTGGCGCGTTGACAGAGTAACTGAGAATCTCTCCTTTTTTTATTTGTTCATTCATTCCCATTTATTATCATCACTTATTTTTTATTTTTTTATCAGAAAAGCACCTATATTATTTGAATAAAAATTCAAGAACATTCTTTCCTAATTCAATGATTCGTATCGTCATTTGTTTAAACTTCTGTGGTTTAATTAGTTCGGAAAAACATACTTTGTGTCAGGTTCAATCATCAACCAACTGATTTTTACAGTCACTTTTTTCAGCATTTATCAAAAATGTACTTTCATATTAGTTCACAAAATATTGTCAAAAGTCAAAAGTGATTGATAGTTATTTGAAGAATGCATTGATAATTACTATTGATCCGATTGAATTCCTACGTTGAACTATAAAAATATCCTAAATCATTTTGGTGCGGATAAAAACGACTTTTTTAACTTAGTTTTCACGCAATATTTGAAAAAAAAATATCTCAATTCATGAAGACGGACTACTTTAAAAGTTTTTGAAGTTAATTTACATTTATTTATCTATCAGTTTTTTAATTGATAGATAAATGAATTGTTTAAACTAACAAGGCGATCAGAGCAAAGTACGATTTCGAATTTTCATATTGCTCGCTTGTTTTTCATGTGTTTTTCACGAGTTCGTTGTATTGTTGACTCGTAACCACCGAGAACGACAGTCATATTTTAAAAATAAAACGATAATCATATACACATTCGTGTAAGACTAAATGCAGCCTAGGGCTTGCATGATAAAATTGCAATGATAAAAGCTGTTTATTTAGAGTCTATTTTTCACGCTCTGTACCGCGGGATTTCGAGGAGGAGATGAAGGGGGTGCGTGGGAGGGAGGTGCGTAAGCAACCTATTCTTCGTTTGCAATATATCTTAAGCTTCAACAAAGGATTTCTCATTAGTATTTATTCATTCAACCATCATGGTCGCCGATCTTTTGTCTTTTGAATCGCATGGAAATTATTGAAAAGGAGCAAAAAATATATTGTCGTTTAAGCTGACGATGTAGAAGAGCAACTTAATAAACAATTTCTTTGAATATTTTCTATCTTGTTTTTTTTTTTAGAATAGCAAAAAGAGTTGGATAGCATCTACGTTTTCAAGAAGGGAGTGTATCCGTTTCATAGTTAACCCAAAGAAACCAGATGGCCCGTAAGTATACATTTTTTCATGTTTGTGGTGAAAACGTTTGATCAGGGCAAAGCTCAAAACACTCTTAGCCAAAGATAACCACCAATCTTATCAATAATGTCATTGCATGTGGTGATATAGCGTCTATATTCTGACAGCTCGTTGTGACAGACACTCAGAGCTGTAGTTGTAATGTCAGTTGACGTAATTTTACAGGAAACGATAACTAGCCTATTGGTATTTAACGTATATTTATTTTAACTCCCCGTCCCGAGAAAACACCCCGGAGAGGCCTCGACAAAATAAAGTAAAAAAAAAAAAACTTGTTTTGTCTAAAAGGCTCAGCAAGTTGTTTTCATACTTGAAACTATTTCATTACAGAGATCCCGATTGCCAGTGCGGTCGTGCAAAATCGAAGCATACTAGCAAAGCCCTAGGACATGACACAACTGCGACAGACTGGAACCCAGACCGCTTCACGAGGCAGTTGCCCACGAATGCTTATGGCGAGGTGGAGTTTCAGGGAACTGGTAGCCAGAATAGATCACCGGTGGGTACTTAATTGTTGTTGTCGTTATTGCTGCTGTTGTTGTTGTTGTTGTTGTTGTTGTTGCTGCCTTTGTTGTTGTTGTTGCTTTTGTTGTTGATGTCGTTGTTGATGTTGCTTTTGTTGATGTTGTTATTGTTGCTGTTGCATTTGTTGTTGTTGTTGCCATTGTTGTTGTTGCTGTTGCATTTGTTGTTGTTGTTGCCATTGTTGTTGTTGCTGTTGCTTTTGTTGTTGTTGTTGTTGCTATTGTTGTTGTTGTTGATGTCGTTGTTGATGTTGCTTTTGTTGTTGTTGTTATTGTTGCTGTTGCATTTGTTGTTGTTGTTGCTATTGTTGTTGTTGCTGTTGCTTTTGTTGTTGTTGTTGTTGCTATTGTTGTTGTTGCTGCTTTTGTTGTTGTTGTTGTCGTCTTCCTGGTGAAAACATGTGCGTAATTACACAGGTTAACCTGTTTAACTTCGGGTAATTCGAGCTTCCTGAGCTTAACTGATGTGCTGAGGTCTTTGTCTCTGGAAACTTTGTTGCTGCTTTTTTAAACTAAAGCTACCTGTTTTCAATAAAGCTGATTAATTCTCTGTGTTCTTAAACTGTAGTACGTCCGTCTATCGCACGATACAGATGCGAATAAAGTACTGGATCTGATGTTAAAACGATGGAACCTAGAGGTTCCAAACTTGGTAATATCTGTGACGGGTGGTGCAAAAAGCTTTGTTCTCAAGCCTCGGTTAAAGGAGGTCTTTCGACGAGGTTTGGTGAAGGCTGCTAAGACAACGGGTGCTTGGATTATTACTGGTAAGAACGCCACAGAAGTTAGAATATCCATATAATAATTTCCCCATAGTACTGAGGTGCCATTTTGAAGCAATATGGACTTATTGATGTCAAAGAACTTGGTACTTCCTAGAAATTTCACCAATTAATTGATTAGTGATTTAATATTATATAGATTATAGAAATTTGGAAAGTTTTAGTAATGATCTGAACAATACTGTATATGATGATAGTGATGTGTTGAGTCGGTAAAAGTATCATTACGTACAAATTTAGAACAGAATGCATGTAACCGTATTTAGCCTATTTATTTCATATTTTGATGGATTATTTTTAAGGCGGAACCAATACTGGCGTTATGAAGCACGTAGGGGAAGCTGTTAAAGAGCAACAGTTGATGCTGGGGTCGGATTCGGAAGTTCACGTCATTGGTATTGCATCATGGGGGATTGTAGACAAACAGAATTCTCTTATACAAGAAAAGGTACGAACAATAAAATATTGCGTGTTCTTTACTGAAACTTCTTTCAGACACTCCCAATCCTCCTCACATCTCTGCAAGGAAGGCTTTTTTTAACTTCCTTTTAATGTAAAAAATAGCGCAGAGCCTTAACATGAACACTTTTTGGAAGTTAGGTTTGAAGTCAGTTAACATTCAAATAGGTTAGAAATTTTCCTCCAATGTCTACGTGGTAGGGTAAGGTCTTCTTACTATAATAACTAACTATTCTATTAAAGGGCGCCAGTGGCCGATATCCAGCTGTTTACAGTATGGAGCCAACACCAGGGTTTAGTGGGGCGATGCTGGATTCAAATCACTCTCATTTCYTATTGGTTGATAACGGAACTAAGGGCAAATATGGYGTCGAGATAAGCCTAAGGTCACGTGTCGAGGAAGGCATTATGGGACTGAAAACCGATTCGCGTTCTAAAGCAGGTCAGTCTGTCCTCTTACTTTTTCCTGTTTTTCTGTCGGACATCTTTCAGTTGTTTCTTTTGCGYGCGCAGACCGTTTMCAGTCCCTCTTCTGACTACAGTTAGTTTCCAAAGGGACATATCTACCACAAAACCATAGTAGACCCTCTAATACATCCTCTTAGTGCCCTATAGTATGTTATATGCTAATGAGAGATGCTTGTTCTATTCCAGGTTCGATTGGAGTTCCTGTGGTACTACTGGTCCTAGAGGGAGGGCCCAACACAGTCCAGACGATGTATGAATTGATTCAGAAGAAAGTCCCCGCTGTCGTTATTGATGGTAGTGGTCGTGCTGCCAACGTAGTCGCATTTGCATACAGCCATACCGTAAAAAAGACGTAAGTTACCTTAGTCACATGACTCTGTAATCATGGTGAAGTCGTATTTTTTTTCGGAGAGGAATCTCAAAAGATCTTGATCTCACTTGAAAAGCTCGTTTTCGAATATATTACATGCTCTCGAGGTTAAGGCTGCACAAATAAGATCTCGAAACTGGAGTATTCGAAACTGAAGTATTGACTTACTATTAATTTATCCGTTCTGTAGCGTTGATGGGCAGACGATATCAGTCATCGATCCCGCGTACGAGGATGAAGTAAAGTCTAAAGTTAACGAGGTTTTTTCATTTCTTGGTGAGAGCGGTGTTAATAGTCTATATGAAAAGATCAAGTGTGTACTGGAAGACGAAAAAATGGTGAGGACAAATTCTGATAATTGTCCATTATTTATCGTAAATCAAAATGTGATCGTTTGTCGATTTCTTTTTGAATACTGACGTTTTGTAATACCATGTTCCATCCCTTGACCATCCCTTCACTTATAAGTATAAAAAAAAAATTCAAACGTTTTATCAGTATTGTCTATTCTCACACGGCGGCCATGTTAGATTCTTAGTCAATGGGCCGCAGAGAAGGGAGAATACTCCACAAGTAGCCCATCATGTGCATATATATCAGGGAATGTACAATGGTTTGTGTATAGGGGAAGGTAAGGTATCTAAAATTGTCTAAATATTTTTCTAGGTTTCTGTATACCGTCTTGAAGATGGTGCCATATCGCAAGAAATCGACTTGGCTATTTTAAAGGCATTACTCAAAGGTTTGTACTTAAATTTTGTTCAATTTCCGACAATTTATCCAATCGTTGCTTCAATCCCACTTATTCACTTTCCTTTCTTCCCTTTTCATTTCACCAGCAAATCGTTCAAGTCCTTTGGCGCAGTTAAACCTTGCTCTAGCATGGAATCGAATCGACTTGGCGAAAAGTGATATTTTTACTGAAGATAGACTTTGGACGGTAAAAATACACCTCCAAAATATCTACTGTAGTGTAAAAGACACACTAATGTTTGTAATAATATCTATTTTGTGTCCTTCTAGACGGAACAATTATCAGGACCAATGATAACAGCATTACTCGACGACAAGGCTGATTTTGCGGAACTCTTTTTACACAGTGGTTTGAGTATGAGTGAGTTTCTTACCACAGAGATTCTGTGTCAACTGTATGCCGGGGTAGGTATCTTTGTCCTATACTAGTTTTTAGGGCAGCACTCTGCATGATACTATCCTCTCCCTCGCTTTTCGATTTTGATTTCTTTGCACCCGGTGTCGGAACACTTATCATGCAGACTTCCGTTTTTATTCTACGGCGCTCTTTTTCCTACTTCCATGACTTTCGTCAGTGTTGTCAGTTGTATCATACCCTTTTGTTCCCGGATTTCAGTTCAGGGCGTTGTCAGGCACAAACGTTTATACGACGGGCTTGTCAGTAGCACCTGGCGTATTAGTAACGTCATAATATCAGTTAAATTCATGTCTTTGAATCTAGGTTCCAACAAATAGCACAATAAAACCGCTGCTCCAGAAGGAAATGGTAAGTCTTTACTTTTAGCCAATTGTATAGTCACTAATAAGCCTTTAGCCTGTGTACATCAGTTCCCACTCCTCTCCCATACGGGGAAAATTCGGGGAGCAAATTTTCCCCGTAGGGGGGGAGGGGTGGAAACGAAAGTACACAGGCTAATAAGCCTGTCAAGATTTTTTGTATCATCCTTGGGAGTGAGAGTCTCTTGAGTAGACCGGAAAAGTTTGGACTGAGCGGAAAGTTGTCTTTCGCGCCAGTTTCCCCCGGTCCAAACTCAAAAAACCCTGGTGTATTAAGTACAGAATCCCAAAAAGGATGTTAAATTTGTTCCAATAACATTATCACAGGACGTAGCAGTAGGATTTGATATTGTAATTTAAAAAAGATCCAAAGGTCCAAACTGAAGGCTGTTGTTCTTTTTATAAAATAACATTATCTTCTTTATTTCCAACCAACTCGATTGTTTTTATAGAACAAAGTAGGGTTACAGAATATCAGTATGCAGATTGTCGGGGAGGTAGTGGAGCAGTTGATGGGCGATATGTATGTCAGTCAGTACTTAAGAAATGGACAGTACTTTGAGGATGTAACAGAAAATAATGCAAAGTTCGGTTCCATGTCTCTRAAGAGGATGCTAAGYAGATCGTCWATGCAGCCGGCTTCTAGTAAGTAATCTCTAATTCTCCAAAATTCATATCGAGTTTTAGAAATAGATTTCAAGAATTGTCTTTTCCTCTAATCTTTATCCTTGATTTTCCCTGACACGCTCTCTTAGCTTTATATACTTACTTGAKTTTTTACAAACTCAATGGATGAATCTGTTAATATAAAAACATCTTGTCTTTGCAGCTCATAATATTAATCTAATCGATCCAATACCAACGCCTTATCGAGATGTCTTTTTATGGGCTGTGCTGTGCAATCGAAGGGAACTAGCCAGGGTTTTGTGGGAAGCTGGTCGACAGCCCGTTGCTGCTGCATTAATGGCATGTAAATTACTTCGCTCGTTGGCTAATAAAGCGCACAGTGATGACACTATTACCGATGTCAGTCAAGATCTTAACGAACATGCCAAGTAAGTATTRTGTGTCGTGTAAACAGCAGTCTTCCTTCTTCCCATTTCCATCCATTCTCTAATTCTTCCCTCTTTCCTTCCTGCCTTGCTTCCTTTCTTCCTGACATCCTGAAACTCCTCTCCCATTTCTCACTCCTCTTTTAATCTCTGTTTTCTTCCATCTAACCTTTTTTTTTGTCCATTGATTCCTTCCTTCCCTCCATCTTTCGTTCTTCATTCAGTTACTATTTCTTTATCTTCCTACGCGACCATCTGTTTTGATATTTGACGTTTCCATTGTGWATCTTATGACATAGTATTGCAGATCTTCTTTTCAATTCTTCAATTTCTTTTGCATTTATCTTTCCAGGATGTTTGAAGAACGAGCCATAGGTGTTCTGGACGAGTGTTTTGGCGAAAATGAAACTTTATCCCAGACTCTGCTGGTCAGAGAGCTGGAACATTTTGGACATCTTACATGTCTTGATCTGGCAGTATCTGGCGACAGTCAAAACTTCATTTCTCATACAGCTTGCCAAGTGCTGTTGACTCGTCTGTGGATGGGTGCAATGGCAATGAACACTACGTCTTTTAAGGTAATTTCTCACCATACTCTGCGTGTAGTCGCACGTTTTCGTAGCATTCCTGCTTCATACAAGATTACTGTGTTATTTACGCCTTATGACTTCACGCGACTTTCGGTGGTGTTTTGGTATTAACGGTTCTTCTAACATCGAGTAACGTTTATTTCGGGCAGAAATCTGCTCCTCTCTATTTCTAAAAAGATCCGCCATCTTGATAATTCCATCAATACCATAATGCACTTTGCTATATATGACGTCATAAGAACTATTGATCGTAAAGACTGAATCAAAACATGCCATTTATGTTCCCAGGTGATGTTATGTATGTTCGTCCCATTTCTTATATTTCCAATCATCTATTTCGTTCCCGACGAGCACCACGAGCGTCAAGAAGCTGAAAGAAGACATAAGCAGTCTTTAGAAGCATCTCGTCATGATAACGGAGCAGTAGTGCCCACTTATCGCTCAAAGACTGATAATCGAACCTCCATTGATGAGGAAGCCAAAGTAGGATTAGAYGAGGAAGAAGACGAGGCAGACCACGGTCACTTTGCTATAGAGGAATATATCCCAGGTTGATATAATTAATAAATTGGATATTTGTGTGGATCACTTCATTTTGTTTGAATGGTTGTTTTAATGCTTTATTTTGTTTCGTTTTTCAGAGATTCGTCCAGACGATTCCATGGAAGTCATGTTACGATCAAAAAACCTCAGCGTTTGTCAGCGAATTTATGCTTTTTACTCTGCGCCGTTTACTAAATTTGCTGGCAATGTGGTAAGTACCATCGCTTAGTCAAGTGGACAATAAAATATTTTCTGACTTTATTCTTTTATTTTTTTACTCTCATTGGAATGGTTGAAACCGATGAATAGACTGATAGCGCTCAACAAATACAATGCGAGCATAGATTTTGAATAAAAATGTATATACAATTAATATGAAATAAGTTCCTAATAAGTTCCTAAACCACTAAACATTGTTGTATTTTAGGTTTCGTACCTGGCTTTCATCCTTCTGTACGCTTACGTGATAATGATGAATTTTCCAAAATTTGACGAAAACAAGACGGTGGGAGGAATTTCTGCTGTCGAGATATTGCTGTACTTTTGGGTGTTCTCGATTTTCATCGAAGAATGTCGACAGGTGTGTACAATAATCGGTGATCGTCAGCGGAAGTTTTTCATTTGGAACATTTTGGGARTTCATTAATGAAATTACGAAATATGCTACTGTTACTCTGTGCAATGTCCTCAGGCTTGAAAGATGGTTTGTAAACTTTAGTATAACAGGGATAATATCGTGTTTATTATGTTGATCCTGTTGTTGAGTTGTTGCTGTTACTGCTGCTGTTGCTGTTACTGTTGTTGTTGTTGTTGTTGTTGWTGATGATTATTATTATTTTGAAAATGATATACAATTGTAATTGTATATTCTTCGTTACGTCACAGCAGCCATCTTGGAGGAACTTCAACAAAGGATTTCTCATTAGTATCTATTGTTCATTCCTCCAACATGGCCTCCTGTCTTTAGTCTTTTGAATCTCATGGCAATAGTTTAAAACGATCAATTAACGGAGGGATTTCTGTATCATTTTAGCTGGCTTCCAAGGCTCCCAAGTCAATATGGGTTGTTGTTGTTGTTGTTGATGATGATTATTATTATTTTGAAAATGATATACAATTGTAATTGTATATTCTTCGTTACGTCACAGCAGCCATCTTGGAGGAACTTCAACAAAGGATTTCTCATTAGTATCTATTGTTCATTCCTCCAACATGGCCTCCTGTCTTTAGTCTTTTGAATCTCATGGCAATAGTTTAAAACGATCAATTAACGGAGGGATTTCTGTATCATTTTAGCTGGCTTCCAAGGCTCCCAAGTCAATATGGGATAAAATCAGTATATACTTAAGTGATCCATGGAACTTTGTTGATATTCTATCGATTGTGGCATTCTTCACTGCGGTTGCTCTTCGTTTCTTTGAAGACACTTTCACTGCTGCACACATTGTTTTATCTTTGGATATCATCATCTTCATTGCGCGATCCTTGCAAATTTTTTCTGTCAATCGTCACCTTGGTCCCAGACTTGTCATGATCAGAAAAATGGTATGTTGTCGCTATCCACTTTTCATACTTAAATTTAAGAGAGAATCGACGAATGATTATAACAGCATCTGTTGCTATATATCATAAGAGTTAGATTATAATCTTGTTAAATACACTTAAAATTGAAAAATTCGTGGGATTCAAAAAATAACATCTTCGAATGTAGGGCCGAAAGGGAGTATGGGAAGGCAGATTATTCACTGGAAAAACCGCGCACTTTTAAAGGTTGTAAATTTGATGTAAATATGATGTAAGTGTCCAAAATCATGTAAATTTGATGTAAATGATTTATATCAAATTTACATCATTTTGGAAACTAACCTTTTTTAAAAATGGGGGATTTTTTCCAGTGATTAATTATGCATATAGCAGTGTTCTATCTCACACACGCTACCTGGACTATTAATGTCTTCTCGTATAAGCTTAATAGCATAATTGCTTGTCTTCCCGAGCTTCCCTTCTGTCTTAGGTTCTATGATGGCTCTTTGACGTTTTTTTCAGTTAATTTTCAAATGTTCAATTATAAATGTAATGTCTTGTGTGTTTAGATGGATGATTTGAAGCAGTTTGTCATAATCCTGCTGGTGTTCTTGATTGCATACGGGATATCCTTAGAGGCAATCATGTTTCCTGGGCCAGGTGAATTTGCACGTAATGACACCTGGAAATCCATCCAAGGAGTGTTGGAATTACCCTACTGGCAGATGTATGGTGAACTCTTCCTGGACGAAATTAAAGGTAACGAGCCCGCAATGGATTGTTGTCGAATTCACCCTACAGAAAATAGTTGGCATACATAATTTACGGAATAAGAAACGAAAAGAGTTCTGTTTGTGCATCAGCGATTTCATCACAGGCATAACATTTGTGCGTCAAGACTAAAGACACGTTGAAGTCAACGAAAAAGAAAGAAAAATATGAGATAAGATTTGTCCTTTTTTGTTCAACTATGTGAATGACTATTGTTATGTTTCTCTCGCAGGTGAAAAACCCGGTGATTTTGGTGCAGTGTCACCGACTGGCAAGCAAATTTCTCCTTTGCTGTTGGCTTTGTTCATGTTATTGGCAAACGTCTTGCTTTTGAATCTCCTCATTGCCATATTTAGGTAAGATTAAAATACCTCTATACACACGGTAACGGAAAAATTCTAAGAAAGAGCCTGCAATAAAGAGAGATGTCTTTAGTAGCACATCGATCGACTCCATATACGATTGCCGTCTTGCAAAATGATGAAATTATGGGATATGCAAATGTACAAATTGTTTTATATAGAATTCATTGCTTTCCTTGATAGTTTTACGTGTGAAATTGGGGTGCAATTGCATTTGGATATTTTTTCATATTCGCTCCTGTGCATGCCATACATTCTTTTGGCGTGATTCAAGATGGCGGCCATATGTAATGCAGCAAGGTTTATTGTTATAGATAATAATAGACCTCTTCAGCTTTTACGTCATGTACCGTATACGCAATGCATTGTAGGACATGTTTGGGACAGAACATGGCGGATTTCTTTTGTTTTCTCTTGAAACTGATCCCACAATGCATTGAAAATCAAGTAGTGAGGTTCAGAATTCTATTGCTGTATGTTTTTTTAAGTTAAAATGAATGTGTTGTTATTTGTTATTTAGCTACACATTTGAACTCATTCAAGAAGACTCGGATAAAGTATGGAAATTCCAGCGATATGATCTGGTCCAGGAATACCATAGCAGACCAATATTCTCACCGCCGTTGATTCTGATTGGTCATTTATTTGTCTTTATTCGCTGGATTTGGCAGCTCTGTCGATGTGGAAATCCACCTAAAGGAAGCTCTATGAGTAAGTTACCAAACTAGTTACGGAATTAGTGAATTGTTAATTTGTTTTGCTTTGCTTTTCCTTGCTTTGCTTTAATTTGCTTTGCTTTTATTTGTTTTGTTTTGATGCATATTTGCATTACATATTTTCATATTTTCATCTTAGAATTAACTCTTACTGGCATGGAAATGGAGCAAATTGACAACTGGGAATTTCAAGCTGCCGAAACGTTTTCATATCAGACACAGGCAGATACCAGTGATAAGCTGGAAGAACGCGTCAAAGCACTCGGAGAGAGGTAATTAAAAAAAACACAAAGAAAAAAAACACAATACTAAGGAACCAACCCGCATACCATATGGAAATAACATGCTTTCTTGTTGAATCCTAGTATAATGTGTCTATTCTTAGGGTAAACAACATGGCCAACAAGCTTGATCGGCTGATGGATAACGTGCTGGACCCGCAGAAGAAGATAGCACCGTCAGTCGAAGAAAGTGTCCAGTCAGGTGATCCATCAACGGACGGGAGACTGGGTCGACTAGAAGTAAACTTGACAAGCAACAACGAGATGCTGTCAAAAATATTAAAGCTACTTGAAGCCGTGAGTTGTTTTAAAAAGAATACTATTAAATGTATCTAACTGAGTGATTTTCTGTACTTATGTGTCTTTGTTTAATTCTGTTTTTTTTGTTTAGGGTAATAGTGTTCCACGTCCACCAGGTAGGTCGCTACAGTTGCTGCTATCGATCAGTCTTAATTATATAAGTGTTTGTTGTTGTTCTGGTTGTTTTCAAAATTTTGCTTAATTTCGAGCTTTTCTTTCGATTTGTTTGTTTTTGTTTGTATACTTATTTTTGAGCTTGTCTAATTGAGTTTTTTCACCTTTTTATATGCGGGTTTATCAAACAAGTTAGATTTCAAAATGAATTTGTATTCCCTTTCTCTTCAGCCTCAGCTACAACCATTGAATTTATTCACCACAAGGCACGCTCTTCGCCTTACCCTGGTTCGACTATCAAGAGAGAAGATGTCCCTGACAATAAAGTCGATTGGGAGGTAATAATCGGAAAATATCCATATCCTCAATATTTTCAG